TTTGGTGATAGTAGCTGTTGCATATAAAACACCCCTTGATGTAGTATGTTTTATATAAATGGTTGGTCCTTCTATAGAAACTTGGAGTACCTTTCAAACATATGTTCTTTAACATGTAATCAACTGACAGGATTAAATGGCAGACATGCTTATCTGACGTCTAAACGTGGTTGTAAACTGATAACTGCAGACTAGAAGGGCAATTAAAACCACATCAAATCAATATATTTGTTTGTTCAGCAGAAGAATAGAAGGAAAATAACATTTTTCTGGGCTACTTTGTGTAGGTTGGGCCAGAGTATGCTAGATATTGTGGGATTGAGGCATTGGAGCCTTTAGGTATTTACTTACCTGGTGACATTAATTATCCTGGAGGTGTGCTTTTTGACCCTTTGAATCTTTCTGAAGATCCTGTAGCTTTGGAGGAACTGAAAGTAAAAGAAATAAAAAATGGCCGCCTAGCTATGGTCGCCTGGTTAGGTTTTTATGTTCAAGCAGCTGTGACAGGTAAAGGCCCTGTACAGAACCTCCTTGACCACATCTCAGATCCCATTCACAATAATATCGTTTCCTTTCTGAAATCTACATAATGTAATCAATGATTTGTATACTGTAAAGTTTAAGCATATAAACTCTTTTTACTGTAAATACTTTGATGCTGTCTATATCAAATGAACGACATTATTAATCTTTAAATTCCGATTACTTTGTGAAAGTAAAAGTATACTCTTTATCTGTTTGTCAATCTGCCTTCTCTTTTTGAATAATAACTCATTAACTGTTTTACCATATGCGAGAAGCAATAAATATGGATGCTATAAACAAGCTTGCCGTAAACAAATAATAAACAATTCTGGTGAGACCACCAACTGATACCATACTACTTCAGTTTGATGGGTAAGTTGGCTTCACATTGTAGGGATGCTAGCATTATCTTTTAGAGCATAGGTACATATGAAATCAATTAGATATTGATAATTAAATTCTTGTTAAATGTCCTTGTTTCATGGTATACTTTTTTATGCTTTTCTTTCCCCGAATCTTTTGAGAATGATGGAATGAAATAAAAACAGAGAAACAATCTTTGCATTCATGCTGACGAATAGTTGTGTTTCAAATTTTAGTTTTACTGTTTTGCCTTGTGGAGACTGGGGGAAGGGAAGGAATTGTGATTTGAGATTCCTGCCCTCAGGGAGGAGGAGGGGTAGATTGGGGGAAGGAGGCATTGTGAGAGATGACCCAGACTTTGTTTTTTGAAGGGTGACCATTACAACTAGTTCACACCTTGATCTCATATCTCCTTTCGGATTCTGGAGTAAATTAAGATTTCAAGATTGTTTGATTTTGTATTTCAAGAATTGCAAATAAAAAAAAAAATCTATATAAAAACGAGGTATTACAGTGAGCTGCCCGTGAAGATGAATAATTTGTAAGAAATATGATTGGGGTAAATCAATGGATATATATATATGTTTAATCTACTGTTCATATGATAGCTCTGATTTTATGATCTCTTCTAGGAGGTGAGACTGGCTGTTAGTGGACCTTACTTTCTGGAAGGGGGTTCTTTCCTATGGGCATTCGTCCAATGTATTAAACAAGACTTGTGAACTGAAGGATCTTGGAATGGGCCAGCTTGTATTATGCAGTTGGGGTTTTTTTTTTTTCCACAGTTGGACTATGGCTTTATTTTTGTTTTTAATGTCTGCTTGGACTAGAACCTTGTGGCAGATGTTATCTGTCGATGCTATCAATTTTGACATCAAACCGCCTTTCTAACAATCACCAACTTTTTGCCCAATTACCTGAAGCAGAGGGAGATATAGGTCAAATAAGAGCCAGCAATAGGATGAACTCTATTGCTTCCCCTCGATGATGTTCAAATAAGAGGCGGCAATGGAATCTATTGCTCCCCCTCCTCAAGTTCAAGGGACAGAAGATATGAAACTCCATCCTCTCTTCCTTTCATGGAACTTAGAAAACAACCAGGATATACTGGATAGTTCAAGAAATAAGATGAGGTACGAGTATCAAGCCCGTCTATGTTTTTTATTTGAAAAATAGTTCGAGTTCAAGACCATAGCTAGGGCAAGGTTTGTAAAATCGGAATCCTACGTAGGATCGATTTTAGTTTCACAGGATCGGATCGTAGGATCGGATCGGAGAATCGTAAGATCCTACCAAAAGCTCCTAATTGCAATTAAAGGTTGCAATTCTTTGATAAATTACAAATATATCACAAATATTTTCATTTACTTGCAAAATGGAGATTCGTATTTCACAAATTTACAAAAAAATTGTAGGATCGTACGATCCTACCGATCCTGCTACGATTCTATGCGATCCTACAGAGATTAATATGATTTGCGATTCTGAATAAGAGATTAATATGATTTGCGATTCTGAATACGATCCGGATCGATTTTGGTTATCCGGATCGTAGGATCTAATCGCGATTTTGACAACTATGAGCTAGGGGTGGCAAACTCGTAGAGGAGAAGAAAATATAGCAACTAACTTTTCAGTACTGGCCTCCATATAATATATGCTCAATAAGCTGCTGATCTTAGTTCCGCGACCATTGTAAAACTGATGATTGTGTTGGGTGTTTGTGTTGATAATTCATTTTGGTAGTTCAAAATGATGTAGGAAGGGATTAGACTTTGGAATTGGGACCGTGCAGCTGCTGTGTGTTATCAGTTATCTAGGACGGACCATGTAAATTAGTCTGTCGTGTTGCTTAAAAGTTAGGACCCATCGCTGATTTTTTTGTTAAGAGTTTTGGTACCACATTCGATAGTCATTTTGAAAGTGGTAATTCCGGACTTGGGCACACGCTGAGCATGGGAGGTGGTGCTTTCATCAAAGGATAGGATATAATAGTGCACAGGTCACGTCCGGTGCCGATCGTGCATGTCATGTCATTGCCGGTCCTCATTGGAATTGCTTTTATCACGCGAACGAACTGGTACATCTTCGAAGGCACGTTTTGATTGTCAAGTCAAGGTTGATTTTGCAAGTTTTGTTCTTTTTCTGGTTTCTTTTTTATTTTCTTTAAAATTCCTTTTTGTGGGTGGATTTTTAAGGCTAAGGAAGCTGCTGTTTGGATTGGTTGATTTTGGTGTGCTCGTTACGGTTGTAGTAGTAGATTTTAGTGTTTCTTAAGAACATTGAAAAAGTGCTTCGTCCACAAGATAGTTTAGCTAAGAGAGAAATTGGCCAAATGAAATAATCATGGGTCCCTAGTTCAACTCTAAAAAGAAGGGTTCCTTTTGCAAAACACACAAGGGCGTTTCTGATTGTTATTGTTTAGGATTTTTGACGCCTACAATAGCGTAAATGAAAACTTTGGAGCAAGGAGTTTCTAGTAAGAAGGTTGAAGAAAGTGAATCATGCCTGCGAGAAGGGAGGTTGCAAAATGTTAGGCATATTTTAAAAAACCAAAAGTCTTTTCAGAGGTTTAGTAGTTTTAGAGTTATATTTTTTATTTGATGACTAGATTAAAATTGGATGTCAAAGTTGGTTTAGGAGACGTGATTGAGCTGTGTTTGGGAATTAGAATTAGAATAGATATCATGTTTATGCCTCTATTTAAGGACTTAATAAAGTCCTACATATCTTAAAAATTTTTATAAAAAAAATATATTGTAACGATTTGATGTATGAAAATTTAAAATGTATTCACAAAATATGTAAAAAAAAAATAAAAATTTATCAGTTCAATAGCACACGCGGCGGTATCGAGTCCTTTTTTTTGGAACTTTTTAGCACCAACTACCCACAGTGGTACAAAACCGACTGGCCTTTTGTATTAGCACAAAACATGACGCCGGAGAAGTAAAATTAATATCTCAACCTTTTAATGGCCAATTAAAAGATTGTTGATCTCAAAAGGAAGCAATGAGAATGGTACAGGAGCTTATTCAATATACTAGGAGGTGCTCACCGCGCCTACGCGCAGTGTAAATTTCAAAGACTGACATGCCCAGTGTTGCTGAGTAAGCTAATAAGAAACTGTATTGTTGGATGTTTGAAACACAGATCCATAGGAAACCTCCTCACTATTGCTCGTTCTGGAGAAGCTTCTAAGGCTCCTGAGAGTTCTCATAACTCCCTACAATGCTAACAGGTACATCCGCTGCCATCAGATTTAGTAGCGTATGCTCCAACAAATAGTTGATCATTTTAATCTCAAAATTGATGTAGTATAGAGAATCACAACATTCAACTAATAAGTACAATGCAGATCAATCAATTACACCTGATGGAAGATGATATAAATGAAAGTTATATTCAGAATGAAAATCCTCAAACCAAAAGACAATTCTTTAAATGTCTAATAACTTTAGTACCTAATAGTTGGAGTTTGCACCAATTCAGTCCCTCGGGTTCCATAAGAAACACATTTAGTGTCTTAACTTTCCACTATAGAACGATTAATTGACATAAAGCAAGCTAATCATAATTAGGTGAAGCACGCAAGGATGTTTAACTGTTGGATTAGGAGGTAAACAAACATTACAGGGCAACATATGTTCCAGTCAATGGTTAAAAGCATCAGCTGATCTATGCAATGTAGAAGCCTTTCCACAAAGCAATAGCAGGTTGTCTGTTGATACCTATATATCACATTGCTTCTCAAATAGAGAGCATTGTGCTATGAAATATACGAAAAACATTTAGGCAATTGTGCAGAAAAAATGCCCATTGTCTTCTGTTTAACTGATGCCGAGAGCTAATGTCCACATGCAGTACTAGTTTCCTCTCGCAATTAATATCCAATTTCAGAACAACTGTACATGATATGTCCAAATTGAGAAGTTGATGAATAATGTGTGTTCCCAAAAGTTGGCTGACAAAAAAAAAAGGATAATCATTTAATAGAGTAGCATTATTAAAAAATGCTGAACAATTCATAGCATCATGCGTAGGGACAATATATTAAGAACTTTGGAATAATCGCCAATAATTAAAAAATTTGATATTACTCCTCATGCCTGATTAGAAGCTGTTCCACCACTAATACCAGTATTTGCAAGAGCTCCTACACTGTGTTTATTCACATGTACTCAGACTTTTCCATGTTGGAGAAGGACCATGTCATCATCTCCAGGTGCTTCAATTACAGTAGCCAACTTTTTCCCAAATCCCTTGACATATATTTGCTCACCAGGCTGTGGTACATACAACCTACTGTCCGTATTCCCAATAGAAAGACCATCAGTAGGCTGATGAGCTTCAACAAGGGATGCAATTGCAGACTCTGCTTTCTTCAGCAGCAGATTGTACTTATCTGCATCAGCATTTTTAAGTTGGTTCTCAAATTCATGCACTATATCTTAAATTTCCCTCTTCACAGCCTTCAATTCCTGTTGGATCTGTTGGCTCTCCTTGGTCTCAAGAGCTGTCTCACGCCCTTCAAAGTCATCTGCCGCATTTATTATCTTCAATTTAGGAAGGAAAAATGGAGTAAACAGAAAGTTATGAAGCAAAAGAGGGTGCAAACTGTAAGGTAACAAAGAAGAGTATTCACCACTTTTCACCTCTTTTAAAAGTTGAAGTGAAACAAAAGGGGAAAAATACGCTTGTACATTATATGATGTACTCACCTATATGTAATAGCATGTAGTGTATAAATAAAATACACTTATATAAATGGATACATGTATAGGTTAAGAAATTAAAATAAAAAATGATAGATATCATGGGCAACAGAAGTTGCCAAGAAGAGAGAAAAGCCATTCCTTGCCTACCAATACGAGCAAACACGTTACACTAGTGCTGTATGCAACTGCTTCAGCTTTCTGTGCAACTTATGTGACGATAAACATAAATGAAGGAAGCAGGCTAGATATGGTAATCCGGGACTACAATAAAATAGGAGAAAAACATTTTCATTGCATATTGTCTCATAACAAGTATCTCTTTCCTCAAAGATTAAATATTTACAATCATGCAACTTATGCATACCTCATAATAAATGCTCATAATATCCGAGTGAAGAGATGCAGCTTTATTTGCTTGAATTTCTAATCTACTTCTTTCTTCCATTAGTTACTGGTGCAGCAAATCTTTCTGCATCTGTACCTTCTGTGAGGTCAACTTGTTTATCCATGCTTGGGCACAGTTAATTATCTTCTCATCAAAGCCAATTCTTTTAGCATTGTTTATGGCATTGGATTCCCCTACGCTTCCCCAAATCATCTGGCATTGGATTCTTTTAGCAATGAAGCCTGTCATAGTCCAGTCCACATTCACCAATTGCTGCCACCTTACAAAAATTAAATTGTCGCATTAAGAAAATTGAGGAAGATACATGTATCTAAAGTAATCTTTTCTATGTTCTTCTAAATGCAGCACTTTAGTTTACCTTTCCTTTCTCAACCCCCTCTTTAGTCAATGAGAGAAGAGACTGAAAATGCTTTTCGGGATCCCCACTCTCATCAAATTCCTGAATCGATCACAAATGTATCCATTCATCCTTATTCTCACACGTTCAATAACTTAAGGATGGCATTCAGAAGAGTATCAACAGTCACTTTGCATCTTGTTGGGTGCACATCAACCATGCAAAAAAGTCTTGCTGCAAGGGAAAATGGATTGCTAAGACTATAGGGTATAAGGCGCCAAGCGAGAGACAAATGGCAGAGAAAGATAAAAAATCTAACGAAGGAAAACGTGTCTGGCTAACCATCAGTTTCAGCAATAGCAAGAGCTTCTTTTGATTCCTCTAGAAATCCACCAGTAACCTAGGACAGAAAATGCAAGACAACTAAAGAATCATTTAGCATGATTAATCCCAATTACAGAAGGCAAATAACCAACCTTACCAACAAGAAATAAACCTCTCAGTTCTGTTACTCCAATAAAACGGAATGAATTACAAATCAGCAAATTTTACAAGCTCATCCATCCTCTATGATATTAAAACAAGAGGTTGAACTTCTCCAAAAATGAAACTTCAAAAGACCCAAAGTTCATATTCTCTCAATTTATTGAGCAAGCCAAACTATCAAACAGCCTGAGTTAATAATACCATCTATCTAACTACAAGTAGAGTTTCATTTTGTGGGACCGCTGATACTCCTTTCCCAACCCCTGAAAAAAAAACCCTACTAATAGGCTGCAAACTTATCCTTTGCAACAAACTAATAGTAATATCAACCAGAAAAATAGTCGCACGAGACATATCCATATGAAAAAGATCAAAGTTTTGTTAAGGGATATATACTTACAATAATTCGATCAACACCGGCACTCCAAGCCCTGCTGAGTACTGCAACAATATCTGCCACATGGTATTTCTTGCCGTTGTATATTCCTTTGAACATACCATCTGTAATTGAAATTCATTTATGCATTAAAAGTAGGTTTACTGAAAAAACTATGTTTCACGGAAAGCGTTTTAGAAAGATTTAAGATTTGACATACCAGTGAGATTGACTGCTATATCTGTTCAAGTTAAAACCCCACAAATACTATATCATTAAACATGATTAAAATAACTCGGTGCCTTATTCATGACAAATACAGAAAAGGGTTACTTGCCAATCATTCGGATAGTCGCCATTAGTGAAAGTTGGAGTATTTTTGGGTGTCTGTCTGCCTAAGAGTTCGCTTGAGATGAGATCAACTGGAAATCTAGAACAGCAAATAAAATTTAATAGAGAATAAAAGAAAATTTAATCAAGGGACAAAAACAGCATACACAAAATTAAAATGGAGAATGCAGTGGACTTGAGAGACAAACAAAAAACAAAAAAAGAGAGAGATGGAGAGAAGAATATTGACTTGTGTTAAAAAAATAGCGAAGAGGAGCAAAAGAGCAGAGTAAGATTGATTGATTGAGAAAAGGAAAAGGGAAAACAAAGGAGAGAGGGGGACGCCTGGAAATTGGAGTGGGTAAGACTTTGTAGAGCAGTTTCTGATTTCCAGTGAAAGTCGGAAGACCTGGAGACCAGTACAGAACCAAATGGAAGGAAAGATAGAGTATATACTTCTACAAGGCATAAAGGACTCTTGAATTCATATATGTTTCTAAGTAATCAATTGTAATGATTCTTGATTAAGCAACATTTGCTACAATTTTGTGAGAGAAGAGTGCTCACAATGTCTCCCATGAATTGGGGAGTTGGCTCAATACGAGCTTTGTTCTTGGTTCAAATTGACTGCTCCAAATGGCCAATTTTCCAAGGATAACACTTAACATTTTTGCTCCTCAGAAAATAATAAAAAGCTTCACATCTTTCATTATCTTCTTAATTTCTTGATTATAACTTTCCCTAACTTTTATCAATCATTCATGGTACATTTCTTATCACTTGTCCCAGCTATTATTAATGAACCCCTCCTTCTTCCAGTCTTATTATCAAGCTGAAAAAATGTTGCTTTAAAAGAAAGGAAAAAAGGATAACATCTTCTTATGTGAAGATCAAGTACGATTTTAGATATGATAATCAATAAACGTTAATCAAATTGAAGTCTTGAAGGGTTTCAAGTCTCATAATTAAAGTTCTTATTTTTAACAGTAGATTCTATGTTCTTGTAGCAGTTTATCAATACAAGAAACAAAAAACTGTTAGAACAAAAAGCTAAAAAAAAAGAGAGAGAATGATCAGCTAACCTGAATCAATACAGGCTCCAAATATATAACACAAGATGACAAAGAAAAAAAAGCTCGTTACAGCAACCACATATGAAGAAAGCTGCATGCAAAATGTAAAGGGAAAAGAGGAGAAAAAGGCAGAACACAAATAAGAACGACCAATGGACAAATGAAAGGTAGAACAAAGAATCAAAGAAGACAGAAAATTTAAAATAGCCTTACCTTAATGCAACGGCAAAATAGAAAACACCCATAAACAGAGAAAGTAAACCTGAATTAGTCGATGAATGACGGACCAAAAAACATATTGGAATAAACAGGATTATAGACAAAATAGTTCACTAAAAGAAAAAGCTCACTTGACGAATCTGTGTCAACAAGAGCAAAACGAAGAAGACGCTTCGAAGAAACAGAGCAGAAAATAAGAACTAACCAAAGCAACTGGCAAACACACAATCATGTAAGAGGGAAGATAGACTATCGTGCTATAAACAATAATAGAAAAAAGGGATGCAAAAACTAAACACATCACTAACCATGAGTGTGAGCAGAAAATCCGGGCAAGAATGCATAGCTTTAGCTGCAGCGGTGAGTTTTTGGACAGAACAAAGAAAGTGCTACAGTCAGATCCGATAGATCCTTTCAAGTTTCAATAGCCGTCAACAGTAATGGATGTGTTTTTTACAAATACAACCCAAAGGTAAATAGAATTTTACCTCTTGATCTGACCACAAAAAAGATGAAGACAACGGTAAAACCAAAATGAATTTGTTGTCATCAGCAAGAAAGATATGATGGGAGGGCAAAATTGTAATACAATTGCCCTTATAGTCAACTGAACAATTATTACGATGATGACAATCAACTTCCAATACATCTTGGGAAAGCCAAAATAGAAATACTAAAGGGGTCCAATCGGATGCAAGGAAAGTGATGGCATGTAGCATTCATTTAAAAATACAATAATAACATTCCCATTCGGAATTTTTTTTTTGCACAAACACGTTCAATTCTCACGGACAAGGACGACCACAAATTGTCCAATAATATTTTGCCATCTCACTAAAAAAGGAACTCTTTTGGCATACCTCTACACATTTAGTACATATGTGTTAATTAAAAATACAATAATAACATTCCTATTCGGAATTTTTTTTTGCACAAACACGTTCAATTCTCACGGACAAGGACGACCACAAATTGTCCAATAATATTTTGCCACATCACAAAAAAAGGAACTCTCTTGGCACACCTCTACACATTTAGTACATATGTGTTAATAAGACTTGCTCGTAGTATCTGTCAATGGTAGCAGAGAAGTATCACTGGAGAGGCCACGGGCGTCTAATGAGAAAATTTTTATGCTTTTTATAAATAAATTTATCAATCACTTTTTATTTCACTTATAACAATAATGTATTTTAAAAAAAAATTCAAAAAATAATAACATTCCAAATGGGACCTCCTTAATTGCTGGTTTTCTTGCTTGTTTTCTTTTGGCTCGTTGGAAAATTGAAAGTCAAACTTCCCAAAAATCTTAAGGATAGGGTAGGGCCGTTGGGGCTACTGCCCACTGGCTAGGTAAGGCACGGTATGACCGTTATCAGGATAAAGATACATTTTAGCTCCTGCGGATGATCGTAATTGCGGCAACGTCGGTCTTAAGATTTCTACATTTAAATAACTCTAGAATTCCCTGGTGCTTCAAATTTCTACCCAAAAAAAAAAAACTAAAAAAAGGTTGCTTCAAATGTTGTAAAACAAACAATTTATAAAATTTTGGGGAAACCATTAAAAGGAGCGAAGTGACGGTCACGTATGCATTAGTCAAAACAACAAAATGAATCTCATAGCGTTCCAATTGGTCGAATTCTGTTAGTTGGCCTTTTTGTCCAAAACTTTACCCTGTTTGGATTGTCATTTTCTGCCGGAAAATTGCGTCGTTTTTCGTGATCACATTTTTCTATTTCATTTTTTTCCTCACATACATCGAATCGCTACGGTAATTTTTTCATAGAAAATGCAATCCAAACGGGGCCTTAACATATTATGGATCAAATTTAATTTCATTAAAATTTTGATACCCACTCACTCCTATATGATTTTTTTTTTGAGACCTATTTGAGTAAAATAAATGGCCTGAGGGCTAAAATTGCAGGTTTGTAGAGGTTAGCCAGCGAATGAACTTGCCTCATCATAGAACTCATGTTAACCGCCTAGGCAATTAGGATTGGGATCTGCGTCGTCTGGATACGCATAGGCCTGTCAACGGTCCGGGTCTAGACTCGGATCCGTCAATTTTTTACAAGTCTGGGTAGGAATATAATTCCGTTTCCCGGATCCGTTTTATCAAACAATAACGGGTCGGATACGGAATATAGCATTCCGACCCGTATCCATATATAAAATAGATTAATATATATATACCAATAATATATCCCAAATTTACTTCTATACCCCAAAGGCCCAAACAATTAAATATTATCCAAACCCTAATACACTCTTTACTCTTAAGCCGCCGCACCTCTCAGTCTCTCTTTACTCTCTTTAGTCTTTAGTCTTTACTTTTCTTTTGCTCCTCCACAGCTTCACCTCCAGACTCCAGTGACAAATTGATGATTGACCAAGCCACAACTCTTGGAGATCCATCACTGACCAAGCCACACCTCTTGGAGATCCATTGCAACTTGGAGATCAGCAATCGTTGCAACTAGGAGTTGGAGATCCATAGCTAACCAAACAGCCGCACCTCTTCCGTTGCAACTTGGAGATCCATTGTTAAGCTGCACCTCTTCCGTTACAACTTTGTGATTGGCTTTGTAATTTATGATTTATACTTGAATGTCAAATTTGCTACAAAACATGTTTTGTTTTTAATTTTTGTCAAAATAGGTTTCGTTTTTAATTTTGTTGTAAAACAGGTTTCAGTCATTTTTTCGAGTAGACCTGGACCCGGACCCGAACCCGAACCCAAATCCGGAACATATAGTAGAATATCCGTCGGATAGACGAGCCGGATACGGAACCGGTATAGTGTGACGGGTTCAGGTCCGGAATAATGAATTTCGGCCCGAATTTGACCATTTGACAGGTCTAGGTACGCAACTTCTCAAATTAAGTCTCAGTATGACACTAAAAAGGAAAAGTTTACGGGGACCGGGGGCCTACTGGTTCGGTTTCATATCATCATGGACCGACTGGTGAACCCGCATTAGGACAAGAGTGGTGATGGGATTGGCATTCGGGAAAGCGGGGGCCCTCTATTGCAAATTTTTTCAAGTCGATTTTATGATGAGGTGACGGCGTGCATACCGTCGCGGTTCAAAAAATCAACCTATTTTTAGTTCGGTCTTTGAAAAGTCAAAAAATCAAATATTGGTCAATTACTAACTAATAATTAAGTGCTAATAATCTTTGCTAAAAAAGATAACGGGTTTGACTATCGAGTGTTATCGGACACTGATTTGGATTGCTATTTTTTTAGAATTTTTATGACAAAAATTATATTGTAACAATTTAATGTATATGGTGTAAATAGATGATTAAAAAATGTGTTTACAAAAAATATAAAAAAAAATTAAATAAATTTTACTTTCCAAACTAATTTTTAATGACAACGTTGTTATTTTGATAATGTGTCTAAATATAAGGAGGTGCAATTAATGTGATTAACAATTAATCATACTAGTGCTTGAGGTACACGTCCAATGTGTGTACCAACTAATGAAAAGATATTAAAGTTGCTAGAATAATTATTTTTGTTAGAAAGTCATCCTGTGCCAAAAAAGTGTTTTAAAATGACCGTTTATTTTAGAGAAAGTGACGGTTAATTCAACAATTGACAATGTGGAGTGGTTATAGAGAAGTGTGTGCAACTAATAAAAAGACAATAAGTGCTAACAATCTTTGTTAAAAAATAAATAAATAAATAAAGGATTTGGCTAATGGGTTAGCACATAGCACTTGTGAATAGGGGATTGGATGTTAATTTTTTGGTGAGAACATTGTTAATTTGGTTAAGTATCTCAATATAAGGTATAATAAGTGCGAGTAGGTGCATTCATATATAATAAATTTAGTATAAAATCCTGTTTGATAATATAATTCAGTACTAAAATTTAAGATTTAATCATCTATACACTGACAGTATATATACTTTCCTCATTAGATACATAACACGTAATTCGAATTTGAATTTAAAACTCAAATTTTGCATATGTGTCGTATATCCAACTGTGATAGTGTATACACCGTCATTATGTATAAGATTTACTCAAAATTTAATGCGTTTGAATCTCAACATGCTTAGACGCATTTGATGACAAATAGAACAGTTGAATTGATTATGGCACTAAAATTTGTAGACAAAACTTGTTTCAAGAAATAAGTGGTAAGTAATTCACTCATCACTCAATAATTCAGTTACTTATTGAATTCATAGTTCAAATGTCAGATTTCATATTTTAGTATTTACACTTCAATTTATCAAATGCACCCTAAATTAACAAATATGTGCACCAACTAGAAAAATTCAAAAAAAAAAAAAACAATCACTATCCTATTGTTGTTAATGATTAATCTGGTTAAGTCTGAATAAAACTGCCTCGTTTAAGTTGGGTTAAGTTTGGATAAAACTGCCTCGTTTAAGTCCAGATGAAATTGTCAATTCTTTGCCATCCTTCCTTAGTCTCCTTTACCTCCCAGAACTTACAAGCTAAGGTGCATAGATTCCTGGTAAATATATAAAACAAATACAAGTCTTAAATCCATGTGAATATATAAAACCAATACCAGGCAGGAATTTATACGATAGCAGGACGACTGATTATATGTCATTCATTCATGGTGGCGTAGTACTTTTATCTATAAAGTGAATTGCTGAGTACAAAATGGAGATGGAAGCTATTACAGCACCATTTTCCATCTCATGTTCGGAAAACTGGTTTTGATTGTGGGTGTATTTGGATTGAAAATTTTTTTTAACAACTAGTCCTTTTTTTCCTAATAAAATGCCAAAAACTAGAGTAATCTCCCAAAAAACACACCAAAAAATAACATCAAAAAACATGCCAACACTGTATAATTACCTCTCCCTTCCCCTTTACCACTGCCACTACCAACCACCCCTTCACTTCCCCATCCAACCTTCCCAACTATGAATTATAACAAATAAAAGATAAACAAGTTAACGTAGAATCTCTACATGTGATGAAATAATAATAAAACATAAGTACACATAAAGCTTAATTCTTTGACAAATAGAAACTTTAGAAAAGAAACTAATGGATAGATGATTACTTTATTTGCTCAAAATAAAAATAAAAATGATAACTAATTTCAAAAAAATAAAAGAGACAAAGGTCAGAATGCTGACAACTAAAGTTAGAAGGCAAACTAAGAATTAGGATAACTAGGACATATATTAGGGGAATAATGTATGGTTAATACTAAATAGCACCCTTATTTGTGTTAATGGGAGAGGCCAAAGTCAATTGTAAAATGCGATTATCTCATTTGTTGATGAGCACAAATTGGGATTAACCAAAATTTGTAGTATTATCTTTAGCAAAAAGCAATATTAAT